TCATCTGTGGAAGCCGTGGCGCTGTAAAAAGCACGACCAATCATCTGAGCCGGCCCGGCTAAAATAACTGGATGGCCTACCTGCCTGTCAGCTTTCCATCTGTGCACAAACTTATCTCGTGCCCTCATTGGTCATGTGTGCGTTTGTGTGTGTTGGAGGAGGGGCTCTGTAAGGAAGTCTGATTTTTTTCGGCTGCGTACTTTCAAATTCTAGCGCACTCGAGCTGGTTTCTCCAAAATTACATACCCCACCTTTAAGTGTGCAATATTTAATATGACAGTGTCTTACTCTTCTGAGGACTGTGAGGTGAAACTCCAAGTGTTTTCCCAACAAGCCGCTGCTTCCCGTCTCCTGCCCAGCCTCCACAGCACCTCTCCACACCACAGGCCTGCAGTGGCACACTCTGAGGCAGCACATCAGACACACATTAGAGTTTATTGAAAAAGACCACACAGACCAAATACAGAACTGTGATTGTATTGCCCTCTACTCAGACTTCAAACATCTGGGAAAAAACAATACTCAATCAGAATGCTGTTCGTTGATTTTAAAATCAGAATCAGAAACAGGTTTATTACCAGGTAGGTTTACACGTACAAGGAATTTGACTTGGTGTCGTGGTGCATACATAAAAGTAAAACAAGAATGAAAAACACACATAGAAAACTAGAAAAATATTTAAAATAATAAAAAAGATAGTAAAATATATAACAGTATTTACATTGCAATGTAATGGAATAAAAAGGAATACAATATGGAATAAAATCGGCAGTAGTAAAAAAAAAAAAAAACTTGTTACATATTGTGTGCATTAAAAACAATATTCCCCTTGAAACAGATTTAACACCCTGGGTTTGAGTATTAGTAGGGTAACCCTAATAAGGTATATTGGACCACCACCCAGGTAGAGTGGTGCTCAGAAAACAACTTACATCTCAATTTCAAAAAATCAAGGAACTGATCGTTGATTTAAAATAAAAAAAGAGGTGCACATGCCTGGCTACATCCCTGGAGCTTTGGTAGAGAAGGTGAACAGATTAAGGCTCATGTATAGCCTGTTTTTAATATCTATTCTCTTATTTCTAATCTTTTGCCGCTTCAATAACTGTTATGATTGTATTTGAATGTCATTTTATAATGTGTGTCTTTTGCACTCATTACTGGATGCTTTTGATGTTTTTTGTCTCTTTTTTTTTTGTCTGACCATGAACTGACTCCAGTCCTCATCCTCAACACAATCCAACAGAAAAATAGAGTTCTGTTTCTCTTGGTGTTCTTATGTAAAAAGTGGGACTACAATTGCATTTCATTGTTTATTACAATAAATGATCCTTGTATGTTGTTTAGATATCTTACAGACAAATACAGTTTGAATTATATGGCTGACCTTGAATTGCCTTTCACCCGTGCGAAGGCATACATCTTGTGTCCAAAATAGCTCCAAGCTCTGCGGTCTATATCATTAAGTTACAGCTGTGGTAAGTGTACCTGGGAACGCCTGCAGGCTGAGCTGTAGGTCCCTCAGTGCCTCTCTCAGTTGGTCTGTTTGGGTGAAGCTGATGCCTCTACAAGCCAGTGAAAGCCCCTTCAACCTCTGGAGGACACACAGGTCGGTTCCCTGCTTTCCAACCATATCTGCACTGGGAATCTGCGGTTGGAAGCCTATAATTGAACAAAAAAGCAACAGAATTAAATGCAGTTGTAGCAGTAAGGTGTTAAAACAAGGCAATTACTCTCCAAACTGTCAAAAAATAACACAAATCATTCCCACCTTTTTTCTTGAAGCGCACCTTCACCAGCAGGTTGAAACACCTGTAAATGCAGAGTACATTTCAAATCAGTAATACATCTCTCATCTCCTGCTACATTAAAAACTCTCAGGTGTCCTGGCACGGGTCAGCTTTCTGTCCCCAGAGTCAGAACTAAACACGGAGAAGCCGTGCTATCCAAATATCTGGAACAAACTATCAGAAACCTGCAGGTCTGCTGCAACTCTGACTACTTTTAAATCCAGACTGAAGACTTTTTGCCGCTGCTTTTAACTGAACTATTCACATCTTACACTGCACTGTAACTTGTATTCATATATTCCTGTGTAATTCTATATTAGCTTGTTTTATGTTTATTTTATTCTCTTTGCTTTTGAATGAGAATGTGTTTCCGCTGCACTATTTCTTAATGCTCTTAATGTTTTTCATTTTTGTAAAGCAGTTTGATTGCCTTGTGTTGAAAGGTGCAATACAAATACACTTTTACATTACATTTCATTTAGCTGACGCTTTTATCCAAAGCCACTTACAATTACCGATCACAGGGACATTCTCCCTGGAGAAACTTAAGTGCCTTACTCAAGGGCACACTAGTGGTGGTGTTCCAGGCGGGATTTGAACTCACAACCTTCCGATCTTCAGCCCACTTCACTATCCATTAGACCACCACTACCACTTGCCTTTCAATGATTTACAATCTTACATTTTTGTTTTTAATCTCGAAAGCTGTAGGCAGAAATAAAGGCAATTGTACGGGCCTTGCGTAGTGAGTCACAGCTTGTTTCCAATCCTTCAGGTGAGTGTTGCAGTGACCCTGGAGGAGGTAGGCAGCCGCCGTCCAGAGCAGCATTCCCACCCTATCTTCACCCCCCCCGCTCAGAGCCCTGCTCCCAGCCTCACACTCCTCATCCGGCTCTTCCAACACCACTCTCTCAGGCAGCAGCTCCAGTGTTGTAGTGATGACTTCATCGCACAGCGCAACACAATCAGCGGGGCGTTGGGCCATGAGCAAGGCAGCGCCGGCCTGCAGGTAGAGCTCAGGCAACCTGGGGAGGGGAGGGCTCCCAGCATGCATCTGAGGAAGAGACATACAGCCAACAGATGGGTATTAATGAGATAGGAAAGTATATAGGTAATGTGCTCTGTGCTTTTTAAATATATCTACTGCTCAACAAGTATGCTATGTGTCGTTCATACTTACTCCATGTTGATCTTCTGATTGAAGAGCAGCCAGCAGATCTAAATAATATTCAACACCCTCTGACACCCTGTGGAAAAAACACCAATATCAAAAATCATAATGTGCACTACTCTCATCTTCATCTTACTGTTGTTTAAGTAAGATGCCAACAAAAGACAGCGCCTGTCTTCATACCTCCCATGGAGCACACACTTCAGGGCCAGATTGTGAAGGATAGAGAGAGCAGAGGGGACTGAGAGCATGCTGCTCAGTGATTGGCTGCGCAGCAGTAAGGACGGGGAGAGGAGATCAGTAGGGGGCTCTGTGGCGGAGGGCAACATCAGGGTCTGTGGGACAAGAGAGGCTTCATGTTTCACTATGCAGGCCTACATTTACATGAATATATGTCAGTGAGCCAAAGTACATTTTTGTTAACTATTCTACTCCAACAAAGGCAGAGACTATGTTTTTAACAACATTAGTGTCTCTACAACTACAAGGCAAACTCTTAGACTTATTTCACAGGCATTTGACACTTCTTTCTTTGTTGCTTTCCCTGTATGTACTGATGATGTGTGCTACTCACTGATTGCAGCAAACGCAGAGCTTGTATCTCGGCCTGTGTGTTGCCAAGCTGCCTATAAATGAGCATGCTCCGGTACAGAGCACACACACACCGGCGATCTGTTTCCAGGGCTTTCATGTAACACTGCAAGGCCATGTGAGGCCGGCCCTGGAGACGAATGCAAACACACACACACACTCTCACTGCATGCACTCTAAAAACTGTAAAATATATGCTCATTTTATTTTTTTAGTACTGTTTGAGTAGTCAACGTTTGCATGTGTACCATATGGGCGAGGCAGGATCCTGAGAGGAGGTGTGTGTATGCTATTAGAGTCCTGGGGGCAGGCAGAGAGGAAGCTGTGTGGAGAGCAGACAGCGCTTCTGAACTCTGACCTTCACTCAAGCTTTCTGAACCTTAAGAAGACACACAGAGGACAGCAAAACATATGATTAGTTACTCAATTCCTCCAAGAGAAGGAGACAGACCTTCCCTATACTACTACTGAATTATAATCATGTTGTCCTTCATTGGCCTCCATGCAAAAGTATTACCTATATGCTTCATACAATGTTTAGCCAATTGTATCTTCTCTTCAAATATGCATTAACTAAAAATAAGAATGTTGCTGACCTTGGGCAATGTAAGTGCAGATCTGCAATAATTCAACCAGCTTCCTTGGGTCCATCACCAGTAGAGGATCGTCAGAGGACTTCCTCCCCTTATCCAAAACTTCAGTAGACAGTCTTTCAAACACAGACATCAACTCATTCTGTGTAACAGGAAAAATACAGTATAGCTTAACTGGATGCCACAAAGTTGGGGACTGGACACGTAAGCATGCCAGCAAATATATATTATGAAGAATATAATTATCATATACTTGATTTCTGTGTCTGTTTTTGTGTGTGTGTACATAGTTGGGTTGTGGCACGTGTTATGGCATATCACAATAAAAAACACTCGCAATAAGTTGATCTTGAAGAATTTACATTATCGGAATATTCATGAGTATCATTTCAGGAGTGAATTGAAAAAGCTGAATGGTTTGCTATCATGGTCGAGTAAAACATGGTGGGGTTTACTTGGAAATTACTTGGAGGTGTTGTTTTATGAGGACTTTGGTGGAGTGGTTTGGTCTACACCAGTGGTTCTTAACTGGTGGGTCGCGGACCCATTTCGAGTGGGTCGCAGATGTGAGAGTGAAGAAAAAAAAAAGTTGAAAAAAGTCAAACTTTTATTTTGAAGGCCGATTTTCTAACGCTGTGTATGCAGTAGGCGTTATACTGGAAGTACCGGAGACCATAAACGGTTTTGAAAACTTCTGTCATGTCGTGATCATTTTCTCAATCAAACATCTTTGCTGATGTTTTTTCGTGCCTTCTGGCCAATCAGAATCAAGATTGTACCAGAATGCGTAGTTTATATGTTAGTATTTCAAAAAATCTCCTGGGGGAGAATCCCCCCCAGACCCCCGTGCTGGGGTTGGGTTTTCAGCATGTGTGCCTTTTTATGTTATACAGTTCAGCTTTGATTCCATCATCTCATTCAACCTTATTTAAAAGCATACTTTAGTTCTGTGAAGGGTTATATGCACTGTACATCACTTTCATTAATCTTGTATGCTGAAAAGCGTATATTACAGCAAGATTTTTTGTTGAATAGATTTGAGTTGTTCAAATTTCGGGTCACGATTTATTGACAAAGGAAAAAGTGGGTCCCGGGGCCTGACCAGTTGAGAACCACTGGTCTACACTAAACTGTACTGAAGGGAGGTTAAGCAGAGTCCCTTTAACCACAACACACATGTGAGGAGGAACACAGCCTAAGAACAGGATCTTACCTGAAATTCCTGTATAGTTTTCAGCTGGCAGGTAGACAGCCATATTGCCCACTGCAGACAGAGAAGGCGCAGTACACAGGGAGCCAAAGCGGTGTTTCCCACTGATTTAAGAACTGTTCTCCAAAGCAAATGAGGGTCCGAGGCAGCAGGGTCATCTTCTGTAGAAGAACTGTGTACTTGTAGAACTGCAAAAAACAATAGCAGGCTGTTAAAAGTCAGAGCTGAGCTATTTTTCAAAACAATAATACAACTGAATGGCCCTTGTGTATGGCACGAGTTCCAGTTTCGTCTTCATGTCTCGTTTTGTCATTTAACAGTTGAACCTACCTCTCTCTGTGAATTGTTTGAGGAGCAGCTCAGCTTCTGAGAACTGAGACTGAGCAGTGAAGAAAACACAAGCATTGTACACCACTGTCAGCTCCAACTGTGTGTGATCTGCAAGAGGAGGGATACCTGCAGAAAGGGACACAGGGACATACAAAGAGTGAGACAGAGGAAGCTTAAAAGGTAACAGCTGAGCTCTCTGCATCAACAAATGAGACCCAGATGGGTTTCTGACCTAAGAGGTGGTGATTCCCACTACCCTACAATGGATTTTAGATACATTCAAACATGCATGTCACCATAATGAAGGACTTGGATCACCTTGGATTTTCCTTAAAAGTTTGTGAAACTCAGAGGAACAGCATCTCAGATGGGTCTGGCTCTGGTCTCCTCCTCCTACTTGCTCCTGAAATAATACATAGCACAGAAAACGTTGTAACTTTACTATCATACTGAGAGTATTAAGATGTTATGCTACTGTAGATTGCTATTGTACTACACATTAATATGGGCATATTTAAGGGAATGAATTACAACATATATTAGATCTAGTTTTAAATGATCGCTCCAAAAAGACTCAATACAAAACACATTATCAGTTTATAATGATTACAAAACCCAACAGTATTTGCATCGGTCTTCAACTCATCCAGCTACAGCAATACAATTACCTTGTAAAATGTTAATATTATGTAATTATAATAATGTTATGTAAAGCAATATAAAATTAACGAAGAGCCATTCTGGATAATGACTAATTTCCCTTTTGATATAAGAAATATATTTTTCTGTCAATACTACAGACTTTGAGTTCAATTTTAAATGCAGGACATTATTATTGTACTGCCATATTTACTACATTCATCGACTCAAAGCCTCTGGTTTTAATCATCAATACATAACACATGCAATTCAACTTTCATATTTCAACTATCATATCATATCTTTCAGAAATATATGATAGTACTAGGCAGTTTGTTATTATATAGCGAAGTTTACGTTTAATGTTAGTAAAACTAAAATACTGTTTTAATGCTCTTGATTCTATTCTCAATCATAGAGAGTATATAACGCTAAATTAAGGTTACAGTATTTAAAAGAGTTGTTGATGCTAGCGTTAAGAGACGAGACACTTAAACTTCCTACCTTCCATTTGTTTACTAACTCGTTGTTTTCCTGGACCCATCTCTCTAACAAAGGAAGAGGTTGAAACGTTTTAATAGACATTACATCGCTGTTTTGTGTAAAAGTTAGACGTGTTTTGTTTAAACTTTCCCTCGTTTGTGGAAAGGGAGCTGAAACAGGAAGTTTTGTTTTTAACATTGGCGCTGTGCTGCCCCCTGTGGACAAAGCAGGAAACTACACCTGCGGTATGCTAACTGTCCAGCAGGTGGTGTTGCTGCAGCGCCAACAACACTTGTGTTCTAGAAACTTCAATTTAAGGATTTGTTTTTTTACAGCCATCAACTTGAAGTGTTTCTGCTGTTTATGTGTGTTTATTAGCTCTATAATCAACAAAATAAGCAAACAGATATAGACATGATTGCACATCTTTTATATATTCAGGAGAGTATTCACACAACAGGTTTAAGGCAAGTGAACATAAGCCAAGGCCGTAATTGTATTGGTGCTGAGTCATACTTGAGCCTGCCAGGATGGCCATTTTTCTATTTGTCATTACCAAGGTGACTCCCTCTTTTCTCACCCATTTCCACTCCCATCACCCATCTATCATCCCTCCATCAGTGCATCATCTTGTTCCCTGTTGTCTGCAACCTCCATAGCTTCATTACAATCTTCCAGCTATTCCCTTCTTTCATTGTCTCAAATCACAGAAAACTCTAAATATATCATCATGGAAAAACATCCACTGCTTCACACTCAAAGACTTGCAGATGCACAGGCATGCACACACAAACACAAAAGATGACTTTATGTCTGATTCGACACATTATGTCCTCCTAGGGTTTCACTTCTCTCGTGGCGTTTTTCCATTTCTTTCCACCCATTAAAGTGCAAGGTCATCAAATGGCTGAAGCCTCCCATCTCATTGGATGCTGTCCCTCTGACAATGTCATTCACATGGCAGGAATTCAAACTTTCACGAGAAAGGTTTGAAAAATAATGTAACTGCGACAAATCCACCCCTGGCAGCAGTGAAGTGCAGATTGTGTTTCATTTGAGAGGAAGCCAAAATCTGCCTGTTCTGCTGGATTTAACAGCACCCAAACACCTTGGTCATTATTATGAGTTATACCACTGACCATCACTGGTACTAAAACATCCAATTAAAGCCGATATGTTCTAACACAGAATGATTACAAAAAATGTAGAATTTAGCCGCTAACAGTTAATTTAAATAATAATGAATAAGGGGCAACATGAGCTATCGTGGAGAAGAGATCCTTATAACACCACAACTGAATTCTGCCTACTCTGCTCCATTATCCTCATCTTTAAAACATGAAGCTAGGGAGGGGCTGCATGTTATTTCTGTCCTGGATGACCCTCAGCCACCGTAAACATGTGACATGTTATGCAAAACACTCTGAGTGTGTGTTTCACAAATAAGAAAACCACACGTTTTATAGAACGCATTTGAATAGGTTTAAGAAAAAGGGTGATTAACTGGTGTTCAACTTTGATAAGATTACAGGACCTTAAACAGACAAGGTTGCTGGAGGACAAGCCTTTTGTGTCACACAGTCCCCTGGGTGTCATTGGGCTGACAAACACACATGTTCCGGGACGAAGAAAATGCTGATACAGATAAATTAGTGTGTGCTGAACCGTCTATTAATAAACATACATCTCAAGGGAAAGGCTCACAGTTATCCCTGCTTCTTGAATGCATGCAGTCTAAACTCACTCACCCTCAGTTTGAGTAATCAATAAGTTCTATACGTGCCCCTCAGAACTGGTCCTTTTCTGAGAGCAGACTTCCCTTCAGCAAAGTGTGTGTGTGTGTGTGTGTGTGTGTGTGTGTGTGTGTGTGTGTGTGTGTGTGTGTGTGTGTGTGTGTTAGTGCTGTATCACTGTAGCTCAGTGTGTGGTGTGCATGAACTACAATGCTTGGATTCTTATACAAGGCTGCATGTTTGGTCTGCAAACACATCTGCACAACTGGAGATGATTTCATTTTTAGAAACAGAAAGAAGCAACTAAAGGGGGGAATAAACCTTTGTGTGTGTGTGTGTGTGTGTGTGTGTGTGTGTGTGTGTGTGTGTGTGTGTGTGTGTGTGTGTGTGTTTCTGTCAATGGCCCAGCAGTCCCAGGGGGGTGGCGTGGATCTGCAAACTCACACTGCAGCACTACAGCTGGAGCATCAGCAGAACACACTGCACACTCACACTATCACTTCACACATACTTCGGCCCAGGAATATAAATGTATTAAAATGTATAAAAAGCTTGCAAAAGTAGACTTGTTTATAGATATAAAAATCACCCAAATCCAAATATATTAGTTAATATTTATCACAAATGCTTCATTTCCCCCCCCATGTATTTTTACGCACTCAAGCTTTAGGTGTACAATGATGAGAGAAGCTTGAACACATTTTACATCCCTTTAAATCAGTATTTATATGTGTTGCTTTGATAAATTACACCTCGTTAATACCTTAAATAATAAAACTCATCAACAAGGTGCTACACTGATGCGGGTAAATATTTTCCTGCGCAGCCATTACTTTTCTGGGGAACAGATATCTCTTTAAACAGAGTGTGTGTCCTGGTGCTGACTTGAGAGTTTTCCCTCCCTCCTATAAAAGCGCAGCGCTCTCGCTCCTCTGCAGTCACATCTCATCCAGCCAAGATGAGTTTCACAGCAGAGCACCACCTCTACGGCCTGTCCTCGTACCGCAAGGCTCGGCCTTCCTCCGGGTCCTCCAGCGGCTTCCACTCCCAGCGCCGCCGCCTCACCTACAGCCAGCCGCCCTCCGCAGACAGCCAGGACAACTTCGGCGGAGACATGACTCGCAGTAACGAGAAGGAGATCCTGCAGACTCTCAATGACAGATTCGCCGGCTACATCGACAAGGTGCGCAACCTGGAAATGCACAACCGCAACTTGGAGGCAGAAGCCGAAGCTCTGCGACAGAACCAGGCTGGGCGCAGCTCGGTTGGAGAGCATTACGAGAGAGAGCTGGTCGACCTTAGGGGTCTCCTGCAGCAGCTGACCGGGGAGAAAGCCCGCGCTGCCCTGGAGCACGACCACCTGGATGAAGACATCCAGCACCTGCAGGCCCGGCTCGACGAAGAGGCACGAAACCGGGAGGAGATGGATGCTGCCGCGCGCACCATGAAAAAGTATGTGGAAGAGTGCCGCTTGACGCGTACGGAGCTGGACAAGAAGCTTCGCGCCCTGGAAGAGGAGGGCGTTTTCCTGAAGAAGAACCACGAGGAAGAAGTGGCGGAGCTTCTCGAGCAGATTCACGGTGCACAGGTGAGCTTTGACATGCGGGACACGATGAAGAGTGACGTGACGGGCGCACTGCGAGAGATCCGCGCGCAGCTGGACGTCCATGCATCCAAGAGCTCAACACAAGCCGAAGAATGGTTTAAAGGTGAGTAGAGTGAAAAGGGAAAGTCAAAAAAAGTTTTAGTTTAGTTTTTTAACTAAAGAAGAGAAAACTATTACGTGAGCTTTAAATGCGAATCATAGTGTTTTTCTCTGCCGGTGCTGAAGAGTCAGTTACTTTAGCGTTTGATTATAGTTAGAAGCGACATTGTAGCTCTATGCGTAAGGTCATTTAAAGGGATGCGCAGGAGCTTGCAGTATAGTGCAGACATCAGATTTGCACGGATTACTACTTTGTTTAAATATTAACATATCAACAGTAAAACTATGAAGCAAACGGGTCCTGCCTTGATAACCGTTAGACTAAACCAAATTCCCAGATTGCAAACTTTCCACTAAATGGAGAGGTTTAATAAGAGAATCAAGTCAGATATCCTGAATGTAAAAGGCAGAAATGTAACCCTGGTAATAATATGACTTGCAGTTTGAATGGTTATCCTCTATGGGTGCATCGCTGCCGCAGAGTGATACTTTTTACTTAAGGCAGGCACTGCAGGAGAGAGATGGCACAAAGAGAGGAGACTATGATTCATTTGCACTCTCACAGTGGGTAACAGTGGGTGTGCTGTTGCTTCCCCCCATCTGCACTGTGTGTTTCTCTCAGCCTGAACCTCTACAAATAGAATAGCCACTTCAAGGTCACTGTTTGTGGTAGGAGAACACAAAGAATACTGCTCCATCACTCTCGTCATCCTTTACGATGTCGTGACTGGAGCTCTCCAAAGACATGGAAGTAAGCTAGTATTTAGATATGATGGAGAGATGATAGATGAAGAGACATTTATACTGCAAGGAAATGTAGCATCAGGTCCACACAGCATTTCTGACCTTTTGTTGTATACTGTGCAAATAGACAGTCGACAGCTTTACAGGCCATGAAGGTTTTCTCTTAACTGCATGCCACAGAATAATTTATAGATCCACCCTTGCTGCACATCTACAAGCTGACGTGATAGAACAATTGAAAGGTGTAAACAGAGTGACCTTCCCTGTGAGGTCCGGCTGACTGCAGCACTGTGGCTCTTTCATGCTTGGAGGAGGGAGGGAGCTGAGTCAGACTGACTGACAGATGGAAACTGCCAAGGTTACTCAGTAGAAACTCCCCGAGGACGGGTCAAATGTCTCAGGACCAAGATTAACAAAAAAAGACAAAACTATGAATAATTCAGAATTTCTCTAAACTCCAGCAGATCACTTTATACTGTGTTTGCACCAATGGAATGACACAGCAAATGTGATTTCTGAATTGTGTTCAATCTCTGCAGTGCGCATGAACCGTCTGTCTGACGCTGCTCGCACCAACCATGATGCAATTCGTGGAAGCCAGGAAGAGATTGGAGAGTACCGCCGTCAGCTCCAGAGCCGCACCATCGAGCTGGAGACTCTTCGGGGAACCAAGGACTCCCTGGAGAGGCAGCGTATGGAGTGTGAAGACAGACACCACGATGACCTCAACTCCCTACAGGCATGACATCCACACACACACATCTAATTTATCCCCAAAAAGGGAAACCCACATGCATTGCACATTTCCTTTTATAACATCTGCATCATATTTGATTTGTTTTCTTTTTGCAGGTGACCATTAATCACCTGGACAACGAGCTGAAAACCACTAAATGGGAGATGGCCAGCCAGCTGAAGGACTACCAGGAGCTGCTGAATGTGAAGATGGCTCTAGATATTGAGATTGCTGCTTATAGGTTGGTCACGATTTCAAACCACACATCATTAAATTGATTCTTTAATTATTTACCTTTTCCCTGACTACGTGTTGTTGTCTTTTAAACAGGAAGTTACTGGAGGGAGAGGAGAATCGCTTTGTTTCAGGAGCAAGTCCCTACTCTTACCTCGAGAGCAGAATCTCTTCCCACTTGAAGATGAAAGCAGAGGACATCTCAGATACAGTCATCGTGGAGGAACAGACCGATGAGACCCAGGTGACGGAGGTCACAGAGGAGGCAGATGAGGATGAAGATGAGGGAGAAGAGAAAGAGGAAGGAGAGGGAGAAGAGGAAGAAAAAGATGAGGAAACCAAAGAAGATGAGGAAGAAGGAGAGGGAGAAGATAAGGACGAGGAAGGAGAGGGAGAAGAAGACAAGGAGGAAGATAAGGAAGAAGAAGGGAAGGGAGAGGAAGACGAGGCAGATGAGGAAGAAGATAAGTCAACATCTCCAGACAAGAAGGGATCTCCTCAGCCTAAATCTCCAGTATCCAAATCACCAGCACCCAAATCCCCGGCTAAGTCCCCTGCAGTGAAATCCCCCGCAGGAGCAGAGTCAAAGTCCCCTGAGTCCAAATCCCCTGAATCCAAGTCTCCTCGTCCCTCAACCCCTGAATCCAAGTCTCCTCGTCCCTCAACCCCTGAATCCAAGTCTCCTCGTCCCTCAACCCCTGAATCCAAGTCTCCTCGTCCCTCAACCCCTGAACTGAAGTCCCCAGAAAAAGAGAAGGCCGAGCCCGCCGCCACTAAAGAAACCCCAGAAGAGAAGAAAGAGGAGAAGCCTCAGCCTGTCAAGGAGGAAAAGAAGGAGAAAGAAGAGACCGTGAAGGAAGAGAAGAAGCCAGAGCCCAAGGAGAAAGAGCCCGAGAAGGAAGAGAAGAAGGAAGAGCCCAAGGAGAAAGAGCCCGAGAAGGAAGAGAAGAAGCCGGAGCCCAAGGAGAAAGAGCCCGAGAAGGAAGAGCCCAAGGAGAAAGAGCCCGAGAAGGCAGATAAGCCTGATGCTAAGAAAGAGAGCAAGGCAGAGGACGCTTCCAAACCTGCAGCTGCCAGCAAGCCCTCAGAGGACAAGCCCAAGTCTGAGCCTAAAGAGAGCGCTCCCCCCGCCAAGGAGGAGAAACCCGCTGCTCCTCAATCTGAGAAGACCGAGCCCGAGACAAAGCCTGCATCTAAAGCAGAGCCCGAGAAAACCGATAGCAAGAAGGACGAGAAGAAGCCAGAAGAGAAGGCCGCACCTAAAGCCGAACCCGAGAAAACCGACAGCAAGAAAGACGAGAAGAAGCCCGAGGCTAAAAAGGAGGCTGTTAAAGATGAGAGCAAGGAAGTGAAGGATGAAGGGAAGCAGGAGAAATCCTCTGGCACCGAGGCAAAGGACAAGGAAGAGAAAGCCAAGAAGTAAAAGGGGTAAGCTGTGATTGAAGGCACAAAGGGAGGAGGAAGTGGAGATGCCAAAGAACTATGAGAAGTGAAGGAAGGCAGGGTAACGAGCGGGAGTGAGAAGCTTGATGCTCCCAGCTGTTCAGATGGACGCCTTAATGTCCAAAGTAAAGCAGGTTATGGTATAAGCAATAGTGATTTCTGTAGCAAATAACCCCCAGCACCCTGAGTATGGCCATTACCCACCGCCCCCTCCCCTCGAGCTTCTGATGTATGACTGTAGTGAATGCTCTAAACTCTTTATCTGAATGTGAAAACTAAATAACGAGTGCATTTAAAATAAATCCCGCTGAGGGGAAATTGCTGAGATGTCAAACAAATTTCAAGTGAGAGATTTTGACAGATATTATATATATATATATATTAACAAGTATATTTAAAGAGATACAAATGTCTATATTATATTTACACATACATCAGTAAGAAAGACTTGAATTTATGCTTGTTGTGCACCGTGCTGCTGCTGCTGCTTCTCCTGAAAGGTGAACTGCAGCGTCTCACTTCTCTGGTCTGCAATGCTAGGACAATGATGACTATGTGTTATGTACTAACTGCTGAGAATATGCAATATGAAACAGATAAATAAAGAATGATATCAAATACAGAAGGCGTTTGGGAGATTGTCTTTTCATTGCATGCAAAACAGAGCCAATTGCACGCTGACCCTCAAGTGAGGATTCGTGAAGGAGAAGTGTCTAGAGAGTAATCATACACAAGGTGTGAGGCAATAAAAGGTAAATGCTGCCAGTGACTGCACTGCATTGCGGACAATGAGAGGGGGAGCTGCTGTACCCCACCAAGGCAGACACCGCACCCTTCCTCCTCACATCCCATAGACCACGCTCATGTATAAATTAGGAGCGATGATGCTTGCTTGCACGAAACACATTCAATTTAGCCTCTTACTTCCACTCCTGCCTCCTCACTGCAAAGAGGAAAGCCCACACACTGAAGCTGAGGTTCAAAAATGACCATAAACACAAGTCAATATCTTTAATATCACGAGTACGGTTAATGTTAATAAGGATCAGGCCTTTTTGAATTTGAAAACAATACAACATTTGTCCGGTTATGCATTAAAGTAGTATTTGAGCTATTCATAGATTTGACACGTTGATATTGTCTATAGCTGCCTATCTATTAGGATGAGTAGAGCAGCGGGTTGAAAAACTCAACCATCTTTTTTTATAGATACATTTATTGACATTGGTCACACGGCTAAAAGGGAGATTTGTTCAACCTGGTTTTCTTCACCTCCAATGTTTGTATCACGTAATGAAACACGGATCATTTTGAGTATATCCAAATATAAGTTATTTTACCCTTTAATGTTGAAATGGAAATGTTCCCATGCAACAATGTGTCCCTAAATAGAAGTACATGAGAACCAACATCGTTTATTTCTTTTTTTGTTCCCTTGGTTCACATATAAGGAGGAGTAGCAGATTGCACCACCATTGAAGATGCTCATGAATGAAAACAGCGGCTTTGTCTTCTCCTACATACACCCATATATCTGAGGGATTACTGTCTGGATTCATCCTAATGGAATTGGATGGATATTTTAGCTCCTCTAGACTGCTGCTAGCTAATCATAACATGTGAGTAATCCTTGATTGAAATGGCTCCAGTATCCAGAATAACCTGTTTTTTCTCAGTTAAATAATGCAGGATTATAAATGAAAAGTCCAAAGTCTCATTTATACTTTGCTGACTGCAAAATATACCAAATATCATCTTTCTTGGAATTAAATCTCTGGGGAAATGACGCAGCTCGCTGTGGCAAGGAACCACAACGGCATAATAATCAGAGAGTGCAGACGTCGCCTATAAATAGAGCCGCACGGAGAGGAAGGAAGAGGGATGGAAAAGAGAATTGAGATTGCACTGCTTTAAATAGACCACATACACGCTCATTCAAGAAAATAACGCAGATTTTATTTCCAAGCAGGTAAAATGACTTAAAAATGTATACTTTCTGGATCTAAGAGCCACAAAAAGGTAAGCATACAGGAGTTACAGTTGTAAAGTACAGCACTGAGAATCATATGGACAAATCTAGCGGTGACTGAAGAAGCCCTGAGGGTGGTTGTACTTGAATGGCTTCAGACGATTTGGACCCCTGAGGGAGAGAGTGACATGTCAGCGATACAGTTTATTCACACACAGATACATTTTGTGAGCTGATGGCTTCTTGTGACCGTGTACCTGACGGTGCGCAGGCACATCTTTTCTCTGGGAAACTCTAGTGGTCCCTCCACACTGTCATCTTGACCTTCAGTCTCCAAATAAACATCCAGGCAGACACAGAGGCGTGAAATCTGATTGGTCAGGAGCTGGTGTCCCGGGCGGGGCCCCTGTAGTTCATTTTTGAACACATTGATCTCGCTCTCCATGGCCTGAAAAAAGGAAAGATGAGACTGAAATATCTGGACGTAAAGTGAGACGGCAAAACAACAGAACAAGCTAAGTGATCAATATTGACAAATGCTCATACTCGAAGGTTGTCATCTGTGCGTCCGGTGCGCTCTCCCTTCCAGCTGAGGGAGAGGGAGAACAGGGGGGAGATTTCTGGGTAACGGGGACTCAGCACCAAGGCGGCCTGGAGACGAGCTGAGAGGAGAAAGATAAAAGGCAGGATTGTTATAAGAAACAAATCAAAAATCTAGTTATAGAAATGGCCAATTCTAGCATTAGTGTTAATGTTACCTGTGCCTCTCTCCACCACAGACATAAAGTACAGATCTGACTCCTTTGCCAGCCCAGCATCAGACACATGACGAGTATATGGCAGCTCCTACCGACCAAGAGAAATATCACAGTAAGACAAGGTGACCGGTAATTTAAAATATCAATGCATATGTGGTGATGTGTGTATACCATGTACTCCTGCTGAGTGATGGTGGTCCAGCGGGATAAACGAGAGATGATCTTGGCAGGAAAGAGGTGCTGACACTCACTGGAGACCGGGATGATGCTGTGCTCTGAGGGCAGGAGCACAAATAAACTCAGTCAAAATGTCATATCTCCTCTTCAGGGCTATTTGTTCTTTGATGGTTAACATGAATTGTACCTAAAGAGGCAAACTGTTTGTGCAAAGCCAAGCGAGCCTGCAGCCGTCCCCTCAGCAGCTTCATGGTGTTCTCCATGTGGCTGGCACTCAGAGAACTGCCCACACTCACACCCTGGAGAGACATGAGCATAGAGGAACATGACGAGGTTGTAACACACAGAAACAGCTGCACAACGGGGATCGTTTCAACACACACCTCTGAGGAGTCTTTAGGGAAATGTAGTCCTCCCAGACTCTGAACCCACATGTAGGGATGGCCCAGCTCCTCCACATAATCAGCAAAGGTAACAATCCTGAAAGGAAATGTTGAGTTATTTTCTTAAATTCAAAAAGGTAGGATTCTCCATACATCTTCTAATTTCCTTTAATAACTTCACATCCTCACCCGACTTTATCAAACTGGTAGCGATTCGCTGGATTGGGCGTTTCTTTGCCCTGGTCGCTGCTGTAGAGACAGCTGAGTAGAGTGTCTGATTTCAGCAGGTCCCTATAGAGGAAGACACCATTAGACATTCAGTGACACAGATAGGTAGGCAGGGTGCTTTGAGCTGGATTTCAGGTGTTTCAAAAGGCACTTTCACACCAGAGTACTTTTCCCCGTACTTTTCCCTTTTAGTTCCGATAGTTCCTGGGATTTTGCGTTCACACCAAAAAGAGAATTTAGTTCATGAGAACTTTTCCCCCCTTTTCAGTCCCTGTTAGAGAGCAGGTACTTTCCTGGGGAGAAAAAAAGTTCCAATTTCTGATTGGCTGGGCGAATTGCAAACCACGCCCCATAAAATTCGGAAAAGTTTTGTGAAGCCGCCATTGTATTTGCTGGCATTAGCATTATTAGCATTAGCTCCGCGCACAAACGGAGAGAGAATAACTTATGGCAACACAAAAAAAAAACATGGGAGCGGTGGAGAAGAGGAGGTGTCGGCGCTTCTGGCGATTTACTCAGGACTTCAGGTGGCAGTATACGCCGTGAAGTTGTTTGCGGCCTGCCAG